GAAAACATCGATGGTTGCGAAGTGGTCTTACAAAATCGGAAGATGGCCTCCCCCGAAATAAACCAAACACGAGGGTTTGAAACATGAAAAGTGGGTAACGAAAAAGCAATGGAGTTTTCACATGGATCACGGGGGCAGCGTTGTTAGACATAAAGAAAGAAGAAAGAGAGAGCAACCTACTCAAAAAACAACTAAAGAGACGGGATCACCAAATATGGTGTCTGACCGAGTTATAACCACTGAAGGTTTACGGCGAATAGGAGCTTAGGACGATTGTTCACGGTCTGGTTACAAAAGGTAAAACCAGCAACCATGTCTGATGGCACGAAAGGAGGAAGCGAACGCTGATCCATAAATAGAGATCCGACGATTGATGCAAAGCACACACACAACCCTCGAAGGCGGCACAACGTCACCGAAACCAGAAGACGAACGAAATTCGAAGATGCGAATATATGTTGTTGTGTGTGTTAAAACAAATGTACAAACGATGACGGAAACTAGAATGGGAAGTTGCAATGCAAAAAGTGAAGAATTTATAAACTTTAATAGGCTACCGCCATTTCTGCTGTTTTGTACTAGTTATTTCTATTTTGACACACCAGCAATTGTAAGAGCATTTTATTGGGTTTAAAGGCGAAGTTTTTGAAATGCACTTTTGTATCTAATGACGCCCACAAGACAGGAACTCAAAAGTAGGCTTGAGTGTATATCAACTGATAAAGTATTTGAAGGCAGACTTGATTACGTTTTGTCTTGGCGGCTCTAACTTAAGTTCATTTTAGCTATTAGAAATATAATGTAACTTTTGCTCGATGCAACGGGGCGCATGTAGGTAGGCGTGATTAACTACTGTGGTGCGGCTTTACAGGCAGATTCCAAAGTCTCTTTTGCGGAAGGCCCATAAATGCGTGTTACTACGACATACAACATATATGCGGGACATTGCATGCATTAGAACAGTGTCCAAGACGTGCACTTACATATTATTCAGACTCCTTAAATCTAGATTTACGCCGAATAAGCATCGCACTGTTAGGTTAAGCTGTCTTCTAGACATGGTTTTAGTTGCAACTGCCTTTCTTTAAAATTTGATGGTAGTAAATTAGTTAAATGCTTGTTCACCAACTTTGACACACACACATTTAAATGCATCATTAGGACGTAGACATGAAAACGAACATCACATTCATATTGTAGTGCGTTACTTTTGTTCGCAGCAATGCTTTCAAAGTGACGCTTGTAATTCTTAATATAAACAAATCTCGTTAGATGTATATTGCACTGGAGTACCATTGTTCAAGGTAAAAGCTTTAGATGACTTTAGTAGCATCCGCAATACTGGTAGGTTGTCAATATTAGGTGGGCAAGTAAGTTAGTTTTGTAGATTGCCAAAAGAATGATGCTTTTCATGACGGCTTTGTTTAGGTTGCAACTTATTGCTACGAATACAGCTATTTTAGCCGAAAATTTGGGACACCATTATCTTCGTGGTTTTGCAAAATCGGGTAATAAGAAACTCAGACTGCCATCTTGTTGTTCCATGTGGTTTGGTGACGAAGGCATTTTCACCGTTATATACTCAAGTTATGTACAGTAAGTAGCTAGGATGAAAATAACCGGAGGAAACATTTCGCAGAAAGCCAAGGTGACACCCACTGATGATGCTCATGGACTCAGTTATTCCATTGCGTAAATGTTACTTATGCTTTCCATGTTTATGGAGAGGGTAGAAGTTTATTGCATAATACAGAACTTTAGATTTTGCATTTGTCCACCTTTGCTACGTGGGATTTTTATTCACTGACTTCACTGAGGAGAAACTATCCGTTTCGCCGCTCCGGGGCAAAAGGGTTGAGAATATGCGTAGTAGGCAAGCACAGCTAGTCCGAAATCTGGTCCATCGCTCTTACCTAAAGTGGGAAGCTGGATTCCCAGGAAAGGTATAGATCCGTCATTATACCTCACCGCTTGAGCTAATTTCTTCCTAATAAGGAGAAGCTTAGGGTTAACATACAGTCTTGAAGGTTATCTTTTGTGTTCACTTGACGACCTCTCTAGTTGGGGTGGTTTCGGAAAGGCTTTAGTGCTATTTAGCTTTATTTTACCTCACAGTTGACTGACGTTACCCGCAACCCCCTTCAACGGGTTAGAATTCCCCACCAGCATGGCAAAAGAAGGCTCATGGAGCCTGGTCGTTTCCAGGCTGGCACAACCATCCTCGCAACTGGTCTCCTTGGACGATTCGGTTGTCATGGCTCGCGGGCACTTCGTAGCAGACATGGCCACACCATTTTGTGACTAATCCAAACGTCCACGAGACTTTGTCCTTTCGTTAGTGTTTTGCATATCCCTCCTGTCTAGACTTACAACGCCACTGGATGGCTGCAATTTTAATTGGCAACCTCCTGCACATTTTGGCGTCAACTGGTGCTTAAAGATCACAAATGGAAGTCAGGATCTTTAACTGATCGTTGGTCTGAAAAGCTCTACTTAAAAATTGACATTAGTTGCGTATGCAGAGAAATCATCTGCTGCGCACTTAACGTAATTCATGCAATCATCCCGGACACTGAACAAGGAAGACTGACCAACTTGCTGTTTAGCATTTGCACCAGTTGATTAAATGTGAACTCCTTGGGACACTTGGGTAGAAAAATAGTTAACTAATTTCTCGTCTAGGTTCACTACTTAAGTAAAAGTGGTCTTCACTTCCGTGAGTCGTCAACCTTGCCTAACTCAGACCAGAAGGCGTCTTCGAATCTCATGAACCAAGATTGGAAGGTCAGGCCGGCATCTGGGTCAACTTAGAATTCACAGATGCTGTTGGAGACGGCCTCCACAATTGAAAGCTGCCTTCAGTGTTTGGCCTTGTTTGCTCCTCAAGGCGCTGAAAGCTATCGTAAATCAACCGTGTTTGTGTTGCTTTATGTCGCTTCAGCTTACGTTGTAGTATGTTGGTCAGCCCCTCTACTAAACACGGCATTTTCGGGCTTGGTAGTCAAAAATGCTTCGTTGTTAGTTGTTAGGATCTACCTAACGCGAGTGGCTATTTCAACGAAACTCTTCGCTAGAATTTCCAATCCAACTAAACAATAGGAAAGTGGAAAACTTGGGGAAAAGAACGTCAATTCACTAACATACTGCTAAGAACCAAACCATTCAGCTCGAATCCTTAACATTTTTTATTGGTGCAGAAGCGAGATATTGTGATCAACTCAACTTTTGCCAAAGTTGGTTTTCGCTCACACGCAAATTAGTAGGCAATCTCTGCCAGTTTGAAAACTGGTCAAACCATCCTAACTATCATCATTACACATTGGATGAAGGCGTGAAACTCACTTCTAATATTGTGTCGCAATTTAAAAGAGAATGTATCCGTAAAAACGTGACAATAAACCTCGTAGAATATCAAACACAAGGGGCATACTTATAAAAATTTTATACTTCAAGACGCAGATCGTGGTTGGAGGGGAGAATGTGTAGCTGGGGAGTTAAGGAAACTGACAGAACGAATGCCAATGAGGTCAACTCCTAGCCGTGTTATAAAGGGTATCCAACCAAACGTGTTCATCGACTATTAGATCCCGACCTGGGAGCCATGAGGTGTCAGCCGAGGCCAATTTCTAACCCGGTACCGTCATTCTTCTTGAGCATGTCGTCTGAGACCTCGCGTAAACCTCTTCCACACACACCCAACTTGTGCAAACAACACACGTCGCGGAAGTCGGTGTTCTGACATGCGCAACATGTGGACTAGGCATCGTAGTCTGGTCTGGAATTGACAGTCAATGTTTATCTGTCTGTTCTGTCCTTCCAGTCTTTTAATTCTGCCTCTATTGAAGCTATCTCTGCGACCACCAGGGCAGATAAGTGTAGCATGATGTTGTATTTGCCCATTGGATATCTACCCTGGGAGTTGGAAGGGGTTTAGTTTTGGGGTCCATATTTTGAATTCTTTATTATTGCGTCCAACGAGCTCCATTGAGTCAGCATCTAAGCCGAATGCAAACTGTCGTGTACCATCAACATATATTTAAAGCGAAGAGAGAGCCAATGAGGGATTTAACAGTAGGCTTTTGCACTTAAGTCCGTGGATTGCCTAAGAGGAGGGTGGGATTGTGAATACGGATAAGCCAGGTCAGTGCTTATCAAATAGCCGTTAAGCGCAATAGCACTATTTTACCACGAGCCCAGATTGCGGTTCAAAAAGGCAGATCAATATAAAGTAGCGCTTAGTTTGTATAGTAAAATGTTTCCTGTTTTCTTATCTATAAAGTATAGCTAGTTAGTTGAAAAAGAAGGTTGCGACAAGCGATAAGGTCGCATAATGCGCACCAGCTGAGCCCCAAGCAATGACTTTGCTCGATCCAAACAATCTAGCTGAACATGCACTTCAAAATTACGCAACGATCGCCTTAAGCGTCAGTGAGAATGTAATGTTTGTTAACAATTTACACAACGAACACAAGCAAACTAAAGAAACCGTCAGACTGCTACACTAGTTCTTTGCCGAGTCAGGAAAGATGACAGCTTTGCATCAAGTCATCATAATTAGATTTTGGTTACAAGCGTGCATTTTAGTGAACAAAACGGCGAGAAAAGGGTAGACTTTGTGCATTCCTGATCACAGTCACATATCAGTAACTGTACCTGCCGTTTCTATCATGTTGGTTAGTTTAACAAAGCCTCTTCTATTTGTATGAAGCCTCTAGGCTTATTTTATCCCAGTTGCTTTTAAATTCTTTTGTTTATGTTCATTCAGAAAAATATAGGCCAGATATTTTCGGTTCCTATGGTCAGCAAACTGCTCGTTTAGTCTCCAATATAATCGTGGAACTCAACAAACAAACTTTCGTATCCGGAATGCATCTTTTTTATTTAGGCAAAACCTATGTAATGGTAAAACTTTTTCCCTTTGCCTAAAATTATCACCGAAGGGTTTATTTTTGGCGCTTTCTCTTGACAACCTACCGAAATCGATGGATTTTACATTTTAGGTACGCGCCTGGATAGCGCAGTTCGATGGCGTCACCAGCGGTGGATAATTCTCGTAGCTGGCCTGATTGAGATGATTTGGTTCAGTGGCTATCATTACGGCTACAACTCTCTCCTTGGTGGTTGGAAATCCATCGGTGTGTTTGCTGATCATTGCGTCAACTTCACCTCGGGATGTGACCAGCAGAGCAAAATGTTCGAATACGGATTTTTGGTATGGTTGATTACTCAGATGATTCTGATAACCGTTTCTGGGATCATAATGGATCGTCTCGGCTTGCGAGTACTTAAATTGATAGCTGTGGGACTGAATACAATTGGCACATTAATGTTCGCCTTTATAACCGCGGGGGCAAGTGTTCTGTACTTTCTTGGAGGAGTGTTTGTTGCTCTTGGATGTATATCTTCTCTGATATGCAATCATCAGATAAGCTCAATGTTTCCGAAATATCGAGGATTGGTCGTTTCTCTCGTCTCAGGTGCCTTTGATTCCAGTACTTTATTCAGCTTTCTGGTGTCCAAAACCTATCTCTCAATAACAATGTTGACTTCCTTCGTGATTCTTGCCTGTTGTGGTGCATTCTATGGAACGCTAATGGCTTTATTCGGTCTCACGCAGTGGTCGACTGGAATGGAAAACAAAGGCAAAAGAAAGGATTTAATGCCAAATGGAAACACGTGTTCCGAAATTTACCGCGTAGCTGTGAGTTTAAACTTGGAGATAACATGCAGACCATCAGATCACGCATAAATAAACGCTCTCAGCCAGTGTATTTTATTCATGTTTATATTGCTCTCCTTATTTAAGCAACTCCTTTAGTAGTGCGTTGCACTCGTCACTTCTTACTGTAGTAATGTGAAATCCTCTTACGAACAGACCGATAAGACGAAGATCAAGGCATTATCAAGGCGAACGTACTGGGCGCCCTTGCTTTGAAACTAGATGCACATGCCGAATTAAGTTATCTTATACACTGAAAACAGGACTGGTCTGATAACAGTTGGGAAGTCATTTCGAATACGCGTTGTGTGAGTAGACTGAGAAGCAGAATTTCCACCTGGATCACGATTCCCTTTGAGACGAAGCTAAGTTAATCTGTCTACTAGAACTGCAGCCGAAGGAGCTGAATATTGACTGTCGATCGCTTATAGTACCATATTATACAACCGAATTTGTACACATTTACATTCAGTAGGGAGAGACAGCAGAAATCTGATTCGAACCTAGGACCTTTGGACATTCAGTCCTAAATGCTAGCTCTCTCCCATCAAGTATCTGCGGGCGAGGCTTTTAACAATTACTACTGAATGATTATAGGTAGAAGTTTTAGTTAACATGCCAAAGATCTCAGGTTCTAGAGGCATTCGAGCGATCTCCACCTAATGATGGCAGCGCTGAGAGACAGCAACGTCCAAAATTTATCGGATAACTGTTAACTCAGGGACATATGAGCAAGTTGGGTTCGACTTTGTGACTGAAGGCGAAGAGGATGTGAAAAAACACTTACCTGTCCTTTCTTTGACTCTATTCAGTTTCTTCTTGTCAATATCTACGCGTTTACAAGCGCGAGGCAGTCAATTAATGATACCGTCGAAGCATACCGCTAGACGCTTTGATGATACCAGTCTTCTCATGGTCGTTTCTCGTCGGATATATGCTTTTTCAATGTGGCAAGAGTTGACGAGTAATTGTATTTTGAGCACAATTAGTGTGTAATGATTTCCTCTTAATATTCGCCTCAACTTTCTATCCATAAATATGTGTGGTATGCGCAAATTCTGCGGATATCTTTGGTTTGATAATCTTGCTTTTGCTCAGGGTACCGGCTTTCCTAACACAAGCAGATTTCCGTAATGAGTGCGTTATCCCAAACTGTCTGTATTTTGTTCGGCATGCACCTTACTTTACATATTGCATTTTGTCACAAGTTGCCCCAAATGTAATAGATGTGTTTACCTGAGTACAAAGATTCTCAAACATTACTTCAGATGGTATATCGCGTTACGGCATGTGCCATACGCCTAGAACCCGCCTAAGCTAACACTATTTTGTTATCGGAATATTCGTTGGAAGGCAGCATTTCTGCATGTGCTCTAACGAGGTGTGATAAAACCTTCTGATCAATCTGTTAGCGACATAATGTAACATTGTACTGCCCATATCGTTTTTAAACCGTGTAGGGAGGAAGTCATCATCATCATCATTATACATGTCAGCTAGAGATGGTAAAACACCTCCGCTATTGTACCGCAATACATGAAGGAAATACATACATACATACAATACATAAAAGAAAAATAAATAATATAGTTGAATGCCAGCTGAACTACCAGCAACGGATATGCGTCGTTCCGGTAAGCTACCAGCCGGCTACTAGGTAAAAAGAAGAAAAAAATATTATGTTTTACGCTATGAGATAAGATCGTAGGTGGAGGGGGAGGCTAAAAGGGATGGGGAGGGACAAAGAAACTCACAGCAGGAACGCCACTGAGGTCGGCTCCTTGCCATATAAGCAAGTGTATCCAGCCAAACGTGTTCACCGGCTTTTGGACCCCAACCAGGGAGCCGTGAAGCTCCAACTGAGGCCAGCTCCGAAGTGAGGGCCTTCATTCCTCTGGACCAAGTCATCGCTTGGCCACCTCTCCTCTTCTTTCACCCACATCCCCGGTGAGCAAACAACGCACGTCGAGGGAGTCGGTGGGCTGGCATGCGCAACACGTGGCCCAGCCGTCGGAGCCTGGTGAGTGAAATGACGGTGCTGAGCGGTTCATTCGCTTTTCCTAGGCCGTAAACAATGCGTCGAACACGCTCGTTACTCAAGCGGTGTTCCCACCAGATGTGAGCCAAACTGCGAAGGCACCGATGGTCGAACGTAACTAGCCTCTTCATGTCCGCCGATCTTAGGGGCCAGGTTTCGCAACCGTACAGTAAGGTCGAACGTACCGCTGCATTGTACACTCTACCCTTCAAGGCGAGAGTGATGTCGCGCCGTCGCCATAGGTGGCGAAGGTTAGCAAAAGCACTTCGAGCTTTCGTTATGCGGTTCGTGATCTCGTCTTCGATCCCAAGGGCGCTGATATAACTTCCCAGGTAATTGAATTTCTGAACGACTTCTAGCTGATCCCCACCAAGGGTCAGCACAGGGGGCGAACCCTGCCAATCCTGTAGGAACGCTTTGCACTTCGGTGGTGCAAAGCAAAGCCCGAAGCGACTGACAGCCAGTGCTAATCTGTCCAGCGCGGCTTGGCATATCTGGGAGCTGTCACAGATGAGGGTAATGTCGTCTGCATACTCCAGGTCAAGAAGTCGTTCTCCTGGGAGTAGCTCCACACCTTAAGTCATATCCTGTAAATGCAATCTCCATGACTTCGTCAATAGCGAAGTTGAAGAGGAAAGGTGACAGCGGGCATCCTTGTCTCACACCGCTGGAGATATTGAAGGGTGGCGACAGCCTGCTGTAAGCCCTCACTCTGCCCGTGCTACGCGCATATAATGCTTGGATAATATCTACATATTTCTCGGGCACACCTTTCCTGAGTAGACAATTCCAAAGGGCACATCGATCAACCGAATCGAAGGCACCTTTGATGTCGTGGAACACGACTGCGGTGGGCCGCCAATATCTGTGACGGTGCTCCAACAACTGACGCAAGGTGAAGATGTGGTCGATGCAGCCACGACCACGACGAAACCCGGCTTGCTCCTCACGAATCTGGCTTTCACGAGCGCCAGTCAGTCTGTGGTGAATTATGGACGCGAGTAATTTGGAGGCGATGGAGATCAGACTGATTCCTCTATGGTTGCCGCATTCCGAGCGCGAGCCGCCTTTGAAGATGGGAACAATAACGGAGCGGCTCCAGTCAGTTGGGACAGTTTCCTGCTCCCACAGTTTCACTAGTAATTCATGCAAAGCATCAACAAGAGCAGGGCCTCCGAATTTGAAGAGGGCTGGAGGAAGATCATCTGGTCCCGCGGCTTTGTTCAACTACAACAGTCCGATCTCACGCTCGACTTCTGAGCGAGAGGGTGGATCCAAAGGGACAGCCCACGGAGCAGGGCGATCAGTGACCGGCGAATCGAACAATGCTAGCCGATTAAATTGCTTTTCAAAATGCTCAGCCCAACGCTCCAGACGTTTTGACAAATTGTTGATAGGCTGTCCACTCTCGTCACGTATAGTTTCACTAACACCAGGTCTCCTGCTGCCCGTTTCCCGTATCAAACGGAATAACTTACGATGGTTGCCAATGGCAGCGGCCACTTCCATCTCTGACGCACGATGAGACCACCAAGATTCGCGGTCTCTCTTCAGGCTAGCACGGAGTTTTGCTCGGAGCTCTTTGCGAGTTTCATTGTGCTCGCTTCCAGCCGGGATTTGCCGGCGAGCATCTATAAGTTCCAGAGACCGAGAAGAGACCCAATATCCATGTTGTCTATTAGACATACCACATGAGGATTTGCCCGCTGCTAGTAAGGTCTGGCGAACATGTGACCAGTGACCATCAATTGTCTCCTGTGAGCGCTTGCTCAACTCGCATGTTAGCGTACTTCGATACACATTCAGAACAGCTGGTTTTGTCAGTTGGCTGGTGTCAATACGCTCACAGCGTCGTCGTGGGCGTCCTCCAAAGCGCATCCGCATGTCAGCACATACAAGTGCATGATCGGTGTCCACACATGTGCTCCAAATCGAGCGACAATTCTGGATGCAGCCTCTCCAGCGGTAACTTATCGCAATGTGATCGATCTGCGTGCAAGGCTGCTTCGAGGTTGGTGGGCGCCAAGTCACCCTTCGGCGGGTGCTGTGTCGGAAATTAGTGCTCGCAAGAAATAAGCGAGCATCTTCACACAAATGAAGTAACCGCTCACCGTTATCATTACGGGAGCCTACACCGTGTTGACCGCCCAGATGCAGTTCATAAGTGGACAACTTTCCAACTTGTGCGTTCATATCCCCCGCCAGAACAACAGTGTCCGTGCTTCTTCTGTAGCGAAGGAGCTGGGTCAGTTGGCGGTAGAAGTCGTTCCTTACCGAATCATCGCTACAGTTTGTGGGCGCATAGGCAGCGATGATGAATAGACACCTGTTGGTCCCACGTGACTTCGAAGCTTTGAACTAGCCAGCCAATCGGACCGCACACATCCGGCTACTGATTGGAATCCAATCAACCAGAGCAGCTTCAGCCCGGGGACTCAGGGCAATACCAACACCGGTTTGGCCGGTGCTCGAAGCTGCATCATCACCGGATAGGCGCAAGGAGAAAATACTGCTTGCGTCCCCTGAAGGGGATCGCAGAGTGAGCACAGTGCTCGAGTCTTGCAGGCGAGTCTCTGATAAGCAGCAGATACCGATCGAGAGGGTCTCCAATGTTCGGGCAAGTGCTGCCTGTTGACCGATTTGTAGCAGTGTGTGTACATTAAGGCATGCTAATCTGAAGGAGGATCGAGGGCTCCAAATGGAAGCCGATGAACTGGATTGGACCGCTTGGTTGGAAATGGGCTTGTCGACAGGAGAGGAGTGACGCTCCGCGTTCACGTGTGAGTTGAAACTAGAAGGTAAATGTCTAGCAAAAAAAGTTGGGGGAGGGCCAAGAATCGGGGGGTTGAAAACTGGGGGGATATAAGTGAAGTTGGAAGGGGACGGTAAGAGTGAAAAAGCGTAAGATGGGGAATAAGAAGACGGGAAGGCTTGAGCAGTAGCATCCAAACCCCTATCCACCCTGCTCGATGCAGCAGATAGGGCACCGTTTATTATCCTCTGCGGTGGCCAGAGCATCAGCAATTTGTTTGAAGTGTGATTCATAGTATTGCGTGGGCAGGATACTGTCAGGTTGCCCAGGCCTAGACAGGAGAACGATTAGGGTTCTCAACCAAAGCCTTTGGTTCAAAAACCTGACCGCAAGGCAGCGGATTTGGCGTTGGGCTACAAGGAGTCCATTTTAAGGAATAAGGAGCCACCCTCATTCCAACCCCCAACCTGGAGGACCAGGAGGCTGAGTTTGTCTGACCTCTGACCATTGACCAATCTGGTATGAGTGACTCTGAAGGTGCAAAAGCACCACGCAGCATAGCTCAATGTATCGCTGAGGCACACAAACCATCGCACCACGGTAAGGTCCAGACTCATTGCGATGGGTAGGGAGGAAGTACTTGAGAATAAATCCAATTTCACTCGGATACTCAATTGTATGCTTGCTTCCTACGGTTTAATATATTAATATTTCTTCACCTATTCCTCGGCTTTGCAATAAGATGCAGCTTCCTCCGTTAAGTTTATGAGAAACCTGCGAATTTGGCTAGCAATTTGTTTACCACAACTGGACACATGCACCATTTGGCTTGTTCGCCGAGCCGGACAATTTTGCTGCAGACCTATCATCACTGCTTGAGGTGAATGCACCAGTGCTTCATTGCGTAGTGGGCAATTGCGTTGAATGGATCGTCGGTTCTTGATCGACAAGCAAGGGCAGATGACCTAGACAGCGAAAGTGCCCACTACGCAGCAAAGCACCGAGGAAATCACCTCTGCTGTAACAAAACTGCCCGGCTCAAAGAACAAACCAAAACCTGAACAGCCAACCCAAGCTAAAACTGTTCCGACATTTTGCAAACATGCACCATTTGTTGCCATAATTTAGCAGAGGTAAGGACCGTTTGGGTGTAGCATGTTTTACTTCTTGTTAATATAGTCCATTGAATTTGAAGAATGCCTGGCAAAAGTGCAGAGAGAAAGAACTGACCCAACCTGATAATATGGCTATCCTAACACTAAGTTACTTGGGTATGGTTTGCATCACCTTGATGGCGAATAATTGTTCCTACTTCTTTCACTTACCTTAGAACGTTAAAGTCGATCAAACTCGGGAGGAAGAAGTCAACACATACATTCAAAATATATTGTCAAAGAGATATCCAAACCTACGTAGCTGTCTGCTTTCTCTTCCATTTTTTCTGCTTGTATTTTGGTTTATGTTTGGAAACTTGGAATTCGCTTTCTTTTTGACCCGGTTGGCAAAACAGTTAAATTACCTATTTGATGGAGACAAACATACTGTGAGCGAGCTGCTTGATGTATCTGGAGCAATGCTACTCGGTGGCTTCGTCGTGGCTCCCTTATCGGGTTTCATACTGGATAGTTCACGTGCCTATTTCAATCGCAAAATCGAAATATTGTTGAGCGACCGAACTAGAAGGTCCTCGGATGACATAATTTATTGGACGCATCTACGCGGAATCGCCACAGGCTTCTTTATCATGGCAGTGTCTGCTCTCGTGTTTAGCATTCTGAATTTTATCAAATTGAAAGCTTTATACTACGTCACCTTTGTGTTCTTCGTTATCGTTCGATCACTTTTATTCAGCTCTGCAATAAGCTTTATGCTTATTGCTTTTCCTGTACAATATTTCGGTACAATCAACGGTGTGTGCAGCACGGTTGGTGGTATATTCGGTTTGATACAGTATGGTTTGATTCAATTTTCACCCGTTGTATGCAATGGCATAGGTCTTGGAATTGCTATTGTTCTTTTTGCTACTCCGGTTACAATTTTTTTAAAGCACCGGTGATATGAAGTCACATAAACGAAGGGATGTGTATTTTCTCGGTTACCTGACTTGCTTCGTAACATTTTCTAGTTCGCCCACTGATCTTTTGACATACTCATATTTGTGCTTTCCATTTCTCGAAATTTAGCATAAAAGATTAAAATATAATTACCGATGATCTGTTCCATTTTTCAGACAGCCGCTTATTTGCATCTGCCAAACTGGTTTTCTGGTTTCCTAACATTGCGCAACAACCCACTCAGTACGACTATTTCATGGAGGCACTTCAATTTATAAGTACCATTGCAGCTTCTCTACCTCAATGAACCGATGATGCACCCTAGACGAAGGAAGATGGCGAATACTTTGTTCCAGTTCATCCAGGAGGTAGAACCTGTAGGTTAGTTCCGTTATAGTTGCGCACTATAAACATTGCCGCGTAACAGTATGCCCTACACGAATGACAAGCGGAGTATGTGGTGGAAAACTGGATCCGGGGTTTAACTTCCTAAGAGTATGGAAACGTTGGCCATACTTTTCGGCCAGTAGAACAATGTGGTGGGTTACCTATGGGGTGTCAATCATTCACTAGCCATCCATACAGGATATATGGGCATCGTTGTATGTTCGCTTATGACGAATTATGCACATGAGAAACGTGTTACGCCACCCGAAAGGCACGAGCAGACCGTATAGTAGCAAACATATTTATTAACCTTTACGGGGCAGTGTGATGGGTGCAAAAAGGAAATGACTGCACTTGATTGACAAATTATGGTTACGTTTATGTACCTGTATAGCTGCATTACGGCATGATTGGTAGTGTGTGCATAAGAGGCACTGCAGACTGAAAGACATAGTAAAGATTCTTGGATGGCCAGGTTTTTCAAAGTGTGTTAAAAGTGACCTGTTTTTGACCAGTCACCGCTATGAAACATCCCACCTTAATGCCATTGCCAAATGGTGGCAATTCAGCGCCGAACCAAAACTAAACAATCTTTCACAATTCTGATTGCGATTAATCTATGGCAACATCAACAACATTTCAAATACTTGACAGGAAAGAAATTCTAATGTGCGCATTTGTACAGTGGAAATATCCATACGGTCTACAGTCGTTTCTATTCCATTAACTGTTTCAATTTGATGGCTTTTAAGGTTAAATTTTTAGAAGGTCAGCAGATTGACACTTGCTAAGCTGCTGCCATTTAATAAGCATGCTTTGTCCCCGAGGAATCGAAAATAACACTTGCTTTTACTGTGGCCTTCAGCTCTAGGAATCCCGTGTTCCTTGTGCGAATATATGTTGGGTGCCGTATGCTAGTTTATGTAGCACAAACTGCGGTTAGATGTTGCAGATGAGGTCACATCTCTAATTCTTGAGCTCAACTGCAAACTAGGCCCTCTATTCACCATATTGCTCACCCACAGTTCCCTGGCTCAAGAGGTATTTGGTATCCCACAGCGTTACTACCAGTACGCGAGATGTACTTACTGGTTAATAGCTGGCCATCGACCATGGTTCGGTAGAAACCCACATGTTCGGTTTACGAATAGGGTTCATTTTTCTTATTGAGCAATTTGAGCTAACACAAGTTGCGGTAGAACACAGTGCCTACTATAGTTCCCATGTTTACGCACAGGCCCATAAAGTGATGTGAAAGTCCGAAGGAGCCTCATCTAGGAGTTCCAAGTTGGATGCACTTCCTCCGAATGGAAACACTATGGGACTAACGTGATGCTTGCTGTCTGGGAAACTTCTGTTGCACCCAACATGAGGCACCAGCTGAGCATTCAGTCGGCTTTTCAAACCTTGTGTGTCAAAAGCATAACGTTGCCCAACAAGTGTACATATCAGTTAGTTTCCAGAACTTCTGGAATCAAATATTCTCAATGGGTTCCAAGCATAGTTCAAGAGGTTGACCTCTAGGTTACATTTCTAGATGAAGTGACATGCTTAGACCAAACCGCATGACCACAGAGACTGTGAGAACTACTAAGCTTTACTTGGCACTGCAGTTCTAACCGCAGTTACTTCCACCTTTGATGACTCCAACATAGGTGTGACTATCTGGTGCGTCTGCCTTGTGAATGCATACACACTGAATCATCAGTTGGTCTATCCACCTGGCATGTAACACGTCGGATGTCAAAATACACGTTGCATGTGGTTCAGCAATGGCATCCTCACGGATTAGTTGGAAACCCTGATTGGCACTTTCGTTTGTAGATACATCGTGAATTTTATTATCTGGCACAGAATTAGCTAGGAGCGCCTTACGACCCTGATCGAACACATTCTCTGTTCTCCAGATAGTCAGAATACTGTTTGCTTGGTCGCCGGTGCCGTTTCATAGCATGACTTGTTTGGTGAAGTTAGTTTTTTATATATGCTAGTCGCATCGTGTCTATCCTTAAATAATTTTGTCGCCCATTAAGTCGCTGTTTGGTAGAATGACCAATGAAATACTGCGCAACGCCGCTCAGAGGCATGAATTATTAACAGGTATTCTGCTCTTGGAGTCTAAACCATTTGGTATACCGTTAAACAAGAGAATTTCAACAAATCGTCGGGCGCTGAAGGCAGGAACAACGGTTCAGATATGCTGGTCGCACGTTCTACCCAGGTTTAAATTATTCCGGAGAGAAAATTACAACTGTTTGGTAGTTATTGGCTATCAATTCGCATAGCCTATTGCTTCCAGTTCAGCGCTCAGTGTTTGGGGCCACAGCCCGGCATCTCTGCCCCCATGGATGTTAATATCGATTCCATAGTGTTTGCATAATGTCGTAAAAACAGGATTCATTGTTTTTGGTCGACTTGAAAAGGTAAGGACCGGATCTGTTGTATGATGGCTTTTGAGTGATTTGTTTTTCAGAATAGCAACAGGTATTACTCTCAAGGATATTCGTGTGCAGTAACGCCGACACCAAGTCACCTAACTATCAGAAGATCCGTCACCATGACCTTGAACCTATTGTGTGCAAAGCATCTTGGACCACTGTGATAACAGCCATTTGGTGATGGTCAAACTTTTACTGTCCTGTTTGGTTGACGCGGCTTAAAAGTTTACAAGTTTTTCTTTTAGATTTCTATGCTCTTATTCCTCGAGTTCACTAAAGCAAGTAAGTGTCTCTGTTACCGCTTGTCACTATGTACCACTCACAGGGAAGATTTCAACGAAATCTGTGTTTTACGTACTCGAATAGTACCTTAGTTGAACTGGTAGTGGTATTTCCCCATAACTGATCAACGGGATTTGAAGCTCGTTAAGAAAATTGAATTATGATGAAACTTCTTATCTACGCTATTTTCTCTCGGAATCTATAAAGCAATACTAGAGTTTAACCCCAAAATGTTCGTGGTACAATACAACAACAATGTCCCCGTTAGGATGGTTGCTTTACAACTGACAAATAAATTTATTTTTATTAGCATTTTGCTTGTTACTTTTACAACATGAGCGAAGTACTTTTATAACTGTTGGTTTGCATGCGTATGTTTGATCTCATTTTACACAATGCTTTAATCCCAAGTGGCTGTCCATCACTTCTACCGCTCGGTTTGTACCTGCGATCGAAAGTTTTTCGCCGTTACAACTCCCAAATCGCACAACTGAGTTCTTCTTTGGCTAGACTAACTAAGTAACAATACTCGGAATTACGCAGTGATCCGGCAACCTCGCGAATGTTGCTTGACGAAGTAGTCAGTGGCATTATATGCTAAAACATGCTTTAATGAAAACAGCACTGTCGTTATTGATTGCTCAGCTGTTAAGGTAGGCCAAAAGTAGAGTAGATATACCGACATTTTTAATGAGACTGCTCGTCTGATATTGCTTTGCGATGTCCAATTTTCAACAGCTGCTACTAATTAATCTATCGGAAATGTTCTAAGCGGTCGGGAGCAAGTTCTGGGGCGCCAATCAAATTATGGATGACTGTCGAGTGCTAAGTAACAGAATATATTTTATCTTCGACGCTCGAAAGGCTTGCTGTTGAATCTCATTCAGTTTAGATGAGTTTGAACTACACGGTGCTGTCGGCCATCACCGCAGGTAAAGACCACCTAACTGAAGGAATAAAATTAGTGCGCTGCAAAATTCTTGTGTCTTTAAGATTGATAGACTCACAAACATGTAATGAAGGGAAGGATAAAAACCTCAGTCTGTAGGACTGTTGCGGTACGGTATCATATTACTACTCAAGCCAATGCAATTAAATGTCCGTCAGTCAAAATTCCAGGGCAGAATATAAAACTGTGCACCAAGGCATGCGATCACGGAGTCACCCAATTCTGATTATGCCCCCTTTTCGTCGACTCGGGGGAAACAATTTTAGTAATGAGCCTTTCATCAAGCAAACCATCACACTATTGGTTTAGATGGAAAACACAGAAAGATTCTCTGGTATGGAGAAGGTTGGTTCGATTTCACGAGCTTGGAAGCATTACATCAAACTGAGAGTGCGTGAAACTGTGATGGTGGCAGAGACGGAAGATTACAGCTACCTTTACCCGTCGTAAAAAGAAACGCTACATCGCATGAAACCAGTCATCAATCTCTTTCGTACTTTACGCTCCGGTGCAACCGTCGTAACAACAGTATTTCTCTGTATCGTTGCAACACACGTGCTAACCACTATAAAAGTGTAACGCTTGCGCACCTATGCAGGTTAGGTAATTTTTGCGCGAACTCTGACTGCATTTGTTTAAGTTAAATATTTAAGACAACACTTAGTTTTGACATCACGAAGTCTCACTCGTTGGTGTTTTCCTTATTAACCCATTTCCTGCTAGCGTTTTTAAAGACAATTTGTAAAATGTAATGCAAATATTTAATTAACGTAATATCTATTAAGCTTTTGACTGGACTCTCAAAAACACTATTCCGTTTTATTCTGAAAGCATTTTAACTAATTCGATTTTAGCTAATTTAATCAATGTTAAATCAAATTTAATCAAGTGTCCTTATAAAAGGATGCCAGAAGAAAACGGGTTAATAACCAAGTTCGGTCCTCTTCTAGCTCGCCTAGTTTACCCTATTTATTTGCTGCAAGGTTATCCTGCTGTCCGGATACCTTTTATCGTTCCTCCAGGTTTAGCCAAAAGTGGAACAGCTCCGTTCTCTCTGCACCTGGCTATCTCGCTGCGCTCTGGATAACCAACAATAACCCACCGATTAAATCCTGGCTCACAATTTTACAAGTTACATTTAGA